TTACAGGCCTTCATGTATTTGATTTTTATTTCGTTAATTTTAGGCCACTGTTTTGTGCCGCTCTTTCTATCGCATTAAATGCTTCTATATGTCAACATCATCTGCAAATGCCAATATCTGTACACTTTTTGTTATTATTGGTGTTGATTTTTGACTCCCTAATTATTTTCTCTAATGTGATGTTGAATATAATGCAGGATAAGGCATCTCCCTTTCGTAGGCCAGTTCTCACATGGATTTTATCTGTTAGTTCGTTTTGAATTCGAATTTTGCTTTGTACTTTAAGTGTTTCTTTTACTATATCAATGAGTTGAGTTGGTATATTAAACTCTTTCAGTACATGGATCAGAAATTCTCAATGGATGCTATGATAGGCACTCTCAAAGTCAATGAAAAGATGATGTGTGTCTATATTAAATCCACTAGTCTTTTCTAAGATTTGCCTCAATAATTACTCCGGTATACCAGTCTTGTGGCAGTTGTTAATTGTTCCATATATTCACTATTAGTTCGTGTATCGCATTCAATAGGGTGTCTCCACCCTTCTTTATTAATTATGCGCTAATGTTGTCTAGTCAGGTGACTTGTTTTTTTCCAGTCTGATAACTGCTTCTTGCATTTCAGCTACTGAAGGGGGGGTTGTTTCTCTGGTATCCGTTTGATATAATATAATTATATCATATAGTGAATCTTCGTTTTTTCAAAGTTTTCTTTGAAGAATTCTGCCCATCTTTGTAGTATTTCACTCTGTTGAGTTAATGTATCTCCTTCTTTGTCTCTACACAATCATTGTTCTTGGTGTAAATTCTTTTCTGCTTTTGTTAAGTTTTTGGTAGAATTTTCTGTTTTCTGATGGTTTATTTAGTTCTTTCTTTTCTTGGAGTTTTTTTCTATGTATTCTCTTTTCTTTCTGCGATGTATTTTCTTCTCTTCCCTCCTTAACATTTCTATATTCCTCCTCTGCCTTTCGTGTTCTATGTTGTTGTTGTAGTCGTTGATATGCATTATTTTTCCTCTCTGTTATGTTACGACACTCTTCATCTAACCACTGTCCCTCAGTTGATTTGGGTTTTTTTGTAGACCCAAGGTCTCTTTGGCCGCGCCTTGTATGATGTTTTTACACGCTTCCCATTCTCTGTTTATATCCTCGTGCTTTTGTCTATTTTCTAGCCTTCCTTTTATATATTCTTTGTATTTTGCCTTTTGCTTTTGTCTGCTAAGTTTTTATTTCATATTTTTTCAATTTTGGTTTCCTTTTCTTTTTTAATTTTTGAGATTCTGGCTCTTATTCTACTTTCCACTAGGTAGTTATCCGAGTCTGCATTTTCCCCTTTTCTGCTGCATATCTCTTATGCTTCATACGTTTATTACATCTGAGTGATGTCTAGAGTCAATAATAACATGATCGATCATGTTCACTGTGACCCCCATCTGGAGATTTAGATTTAGAATTTAGTTCCAAGTGATGTTATATAGGGTAGATGGGAACGAAGTAACATCAGGTCTTTAGCTATATCTATTTAGGGCATGAAATTAGAATAGGAAAAGACAATCAAACTTGTGAGATCCAGCTCGCATAGGCTTGGGATGGGCAGCATTTGCAAGATGCCAGATATTCTAAAAGGAACGCTACCGATTTGCTTGAAGAAAAAGGTTTACAACCAATGCATACTGCCAGTAAATAACATGTGGTTCCGAAACAATAACTTTAACCAAACATTCTGCAAATAAATTGAGAGTAACCCAAAGAAAAATGGAAAGAGCAATGTTGGGGAATAACTAGAAGAGATATGGTACCAAATAGATAGTGAGAGAGAGGACTAAAGTGACAGATGTCATAGAAAAAATTGCACAAGCCAAAAGGAGATGGGCTGGACAATAGCACGTTTAAATGATAATAGGTGGACCAAAAGACTCATAGAATGGCTATGCTTACCTATAGTTGGTTGTCTTCCTTTTCCTCTGTAGGGGCATGCACATTTAAGATGCTATAATTAAAAAAACGTTCCCCTTAGTCTCACATTCTAGAGTTCATAGCACGAAAGTCTTTTACGAGGTGTTTAACCTTTTTATTTACAATGAAGCCAGTACCTAGTGCGTGGTCTTCAGCGTCGCAACTATAGAATATAATGTGGTGTCCTTTTTCATATCAATGGTGGCACTCCCGGTCCATCTCATTTTCTGCAGAGCTGTTATATCTATGTCATATCTATTCAGTTTACTGAGCAGACTTTGGAGGGCTCCCGATCTGTATAGGGATCGGATGTTCCATGTCGCGATTCTTAAATCATGTACCTTTTTATAGCGCAGCCATCGTCGTTTGATCAGTCCGGTTTTCTTTTCTTGAACATTCGCAACATATGTGTTTTCTAGGATAGGGTTGTTAGCCCTATGCCTAACCCCCTTTTCGGAGGACCATTTCTCCCTTCCTCGTCGGCACTAATCCTACTTTCCGCTGGGGTTGGTTACCCAATCTCCGGTAGGGTTGCTCAGGTTTGCCAGGGTCCACCCGCGTGATTAAGTCACACTTCTCGGAAGTGAGGATAGGAATTGAGTAGGAGTGGCTAGATGTGTTATCAGAAAGGAACACCTTATATTGCGCATCACTACTTCTTTGAACCCCAAGGAAATCGTTATATTTGGCATTATACTTCAAAGAAAACCTTTAAAATTGCTTCTTTTCGATTGTACAAGCACGTGATTAAAAACTACATAACTTGAGCTACAAATTCCACTAAATGCCGCCTTGTTGAAAGTATTTGGTTAGTTTAAATTCAGCGTTTTTAGACATATTTCAAATGCCTCATATTTGTTGTCAAAACTCAAAATCAAAATTTCATGTTATAGGTTTTAAAGATTATTGTCTAATATTGGAATAT